TGTGACGTCACTGGTATGTTGATACATTTGTGTGACGTCACGGGTAGTGTTGATACATTGTGTGACGTCACTGGTAGTGTTGATACATTGTGTGACGTCACTGGTAGTGTTGATACATTGTGTGACGTCACTGGTAGTGTTGATACCTTGTGTGACGTCACTGGTAGTGTTGATACCTTGTGTGACGTCACTGGTAGTGTTGATACCTTGTGTGACGTCACTGGTAGTGTTGAAAACATTGTGTGACGTCACTGGTAGTGTTGATACCTTGTGTGACGTCACTGGTAGTGTTGATACCTTGTGTGACGTCACTGGTAGTGTTGATACCTTGTGTGACGTCACTGGTAGTGTTGATACCTTGTGTGACGTCATGGTAGTGTTGATACATCGTGTGACGTCACTGGTAGTGTTGATACATTGTGTGACGTCACTGGTAGTGTTGATACATTGTGTGACGTCACTGGTAGTGTTGATACATTGTGTGACGTTCACTGGTAGTGTTGATACATTGTGTGACGTCACTGGTAGTGTTGATACATTGTGTGACGTCACTGGTAGTGTTGATACATTGTGTGACGTCACTGGTAGTGTTGATACATTGTGACGTCACTGGTAGTGTTGATACATTGTGTGACGTCACTGGTAGTGTTGATACCTTGTGTGACGTCACTGGTAGTGTTGATACATTGTGTGACGTCACTGGTAGTGTTGATACCTTGTGTGACGTCACTGGTAGTGTTGATACCTTGTGTGACGTCACTGGTAGTGTTGATACCTTGTGTGACGTCACTGGTAGTGTTGATACCTTGTGTGACGTCACTGGTAGTGTTGATACATCGTGTGACGTCACTGGTAGTGTTGATACATTGTGTGACGTCACTGGTAGTGTTGATACATTGTGTGACGTCACTGGTAGTGTTGATACATTGTGTGACGTCACTGGTAGTGTTGATACATTGTGACGTCACTGGTAGTGTTGATACATTGTGTGACGTCACTGGTAGTGTTGATACCTTGTGTGACGTCACTGGTAGTGTTGATACATTGTGTGACGTCACTGGTAGTGTTGATCCCTTTGTGTGACGTCACTGGTAGTGTTGATACCTTGTGTGACGTCACTGGTAGTGTTGATACCTTGTGTGACGTCACTGGTAGTGTTGATACCTTGTGTGACGTCACTGGTAGTGTTGATACCTTGTGTGACGTCACTGATAGGGCTGACACCTCGTGTAACGTCAGTGGTAGTGCTGACACCTTGTGTGACGTCAGTGGTAGGGCAGGTACCTTGTGTGACGTCACTGGTAGGGCTGACACCTCGTGTGACGTCAGTGGTAGTGCTGACACCTTGTTTGATGTCAGTGGTAGTGCTGACAACTAAGGTATAATCTGGACCTCATAACAAGGTGATGTACAAGGTCAAGATGTCAACAACACACTATGTTGTGAATGGCAGTTTAGTGAAGAGACGTTTTGGCCCCCTTCCCCCCCCCCCCCCCGAGACTTACCAGTTCACAGTCAATCCATTATGGTTAGACATGCAAACAAAATGAGAATCAGACATTAGAAGTTAACTTGATGTTTTAAACCAGTGCAAAAGTTCCCATTAAGGTACGACAATGATGACACAACACTGTATTTTATAAATTCAGACACCTCCTTGATAAAAATTAATGATCTGTAATAGCCCTAACTTAAAGAGTAACTTGAATCAAAAACTTACCCTTAAAACTTAGAGAAAGACAGAGTAATTCCTGGTTAAAGTTCCCTTCAGAGTTCCTTTAAGAAAAACTTGTAATAATTCTTTGTTGAACTTAACGTTTCTCAATGTTTCACTCAACACAATGTTTCACTCAACGCAATGTTTCACTTAACACAGTGTTTCACACAACACAGTGTTTCACTCAACGCAATGTTTCACTCAACACAGTGTTTCACTCAGCACAGTGTTTCACTCAACGCAATGTTTCACTCAACGCAATGTTTCACTTAACACAGTGTTTCACACAACACAGTGTTTCACTCAACGCAATGTTTCACTCAACACAGTGTTTCACTCAGCACAGTGTTTCACTCAACGCAATGTTTCACTCAACGCAATGTTTCACTTAACACAGTGTTTCACACAACACAGTGTTTCACTCAGCACAGTGTTTCACACAACACAGTGTTTCACTCAACACAGTTTCACTCAACACAGTGTTTCACTCAACAGTGTTTCACTCAACACACACACCTACACGCAACACACGCAGCTTGACACAACACACACCTACACGCAACACACGCAGCTTGACACAACACACACCTACACGCAACACACGCAGCTTGACACAACACACACCTACACGCAACACACGCAGCTTGACACAACACACACCTACCACGCAACACACGCAGCTTGACACAACACACACCTACACGCAACACACGCAGCTTGACACAACACACACCTACACGCAACACACGCAGCTTGACACAACACACACCTACACGCAACACACGCAGCTTGACACAACACACACCTACACGCAACACACGCAGCTTGACACAACACACAGCTACACGCAACACACGCAGCTTGACACAACACACAGCTACACACAACACACGCAGCTTGACACAACACACACCTACACACAACACACTCAGCTTGACACAACACACAGCTACACACAACACACGCAGCTTGACACAACACACACCTACACACAACACACTCAGCTTGACACAACACACTGCTACACACAACACACGCAGCTTGACACAACACACACCTACACACAACACACTCAGCTTGACACAACACACACCTACACACAACACACTCAGCTTGACACAACACACACCTACACACAACACACGCAGCTTGACACCACACACACCTACACACAACACACTCAGCTTGACACAACACACTGCTACACACAACACACTCAGCTTGACACAACACACAGCTACACACAACACACAGCTACACGCAACACACGCAGCTTGACACAACACACCTACACACAAACACACTCAGCTACACAGAACACACAGCTACACGCAACACACGCAGCTTGACACAACACACACCTACACACAACACACTCAGCTTGACACAACACACTGCTACACACAACACACTCAGCTTGACACAACACACACCTACACGCAGCTTGACATAACACACACCTACACGCAGTTTGACAACACACGCAGCTTGACACAACACAGCTACACGCAACACACGCAGCCTGACACAACACACACCTACACACAACACACGCAGCTTGACACAGCTACACACAACACACAGCTACACACAACACACGCAGCTTGACACAACACACAGCTACACACAACACACAGCTACACACAACACACGCAGCTTGACACAACACACAGCTACACACACAACACACAGCTACACGCAACACACGCAGCTTGACACAACACACAGCTTACTTATTGCTTGGTTGGTTAATGGAGTTTAAAGGCTATCAACTACTCGAGGCTCATTAAGTCTTCAACGGTATGTTTTTATAAGACAAGAATATACTTTAATACCTAATAACGGAATTAATCTGTCATCAAATATACGCTGCAATATATACCTTTCGTGGTATATACTTTGTGGTATTTATTACTAATTATTTAAAATGGCAGATTATACCTCAGTTGGAGGTATATATATCTGACTTCACACCAGTGACGTCACACAAGGTATCAACACTAATACTGACGTCACACAAGGTATCAGCAATACCAGTGACGTCACACAAGGTATCAGTAATGCTAGTGACGTCACAGAAGGTATCAACACTGCCAGTGACGTCACACAAGGTATCAGCAATACCAGTGACGTCACACAAGGTATCAGTAATGCTAGTGACGTCACAGAAGGTATCAACACTGCCAGTGACGTCACACAAGGTATCAGCAATACCAGTGACGTCACACAAGGTATCAGTAATACTAGTGACGTCACAGAAGGTATCAACACTGCCAGTGACGTCACACAAGGTATCAGTAATACTAGTGACGTCACAGAAGGTATCAACACTGCCAGTGACGTCACACAAGGTATCAGCAATACCAGTGACGTCACACAAGGTATCAGCAATACCAGTGACGTCACACAAGGTATCAACACTGCCAGTGACGTCACACAAGGTATCAGCAATACCAGTGACGTCACACAAGGTATCAGCAATACCAGTGACGTCACACAAGGTATCAACACTGCCAGTGACGTCACACAAGGTATCAACACTGCCAGTGACGTCACACAAGGTATCAGCAATACCAGTGACGTCACACAAGGTATCAACACTGCCAGTGACGTCACACAAGGTATCAACACTGCCAGTGACGTCACACAAGGTATCAGCAATACCAGTGACGTCACACAAGGTATCAGCAATACCAGTGACGTCACACAAGGTATCAACACTGCCAGTGACGTCACACAAGGTATCAACACTGCCAGTGACGTCACACAAGGTATCAACACTGCCAGTGACGTCACACAAGGTATCAGCAATACCAGTGACGTCACACAAGGTATCAGCAATACCAGTGACGTCACTCAAGGTATCAGCAATACCAGTGACGTCACACAAGGTATCAGCAATACCAGTGACGTCACACAAGGTATCAGTAATATTATGACAAATTCTGCCATATTTATATGATTCATAAGAAATTAGTTATTAAGTCATAATCTGTTATATAGAATGAGTTGAAAAGGCAAATTTGTTAAGTATCGACGTAACTGACACATACCCAGCCTACTAGAGAGGCCTATATAACGTATTTTGTGTTTAATAAGAGATCATGAGATAGGCATACTGATTATAAGGACTATGTTGAGAAGGGTGGGCATGAGAGCCACTATCCCTGCCCCTGCCCCTGTCCCTGCCTTTGTCCATGCCCCTGCCACTGCCCCTGTCTGCTGCATCACCTCTCGTCTGCTCGTCGCCATTCCCCTCTAATGTCACCAGTCGTACCTACAGCAGCTGGTGCAGGACACACTAGTGGACGAAGGGCTTCGTGTGGTCAAGGAATCCCTAAACCAACAGAAGGACTCTGTCCCTGGCGCACGTCCGCAGGACTCCTACGCTAGGGCCCAGCAGGAGGGCCCCACGGCTAAGCATAATTCCACAGGAGGGGGCCCAACAGCAGTGCCCCCAGTCTCCTCCACCCCCACCACTACCACCACAGTTGCTTCCGGAAGGCTAGTGTCTCCACCCACCACCTACTCTGAGATGTTTTCCTACCCCGAGAATAAGGTGAGAAAGGTAATATCTAGGTCCTTTAATACTACTCTGCGTGTCTTGGTGCTCTCAATACCCCTCGCTGCATATCCCTCTGTGTTCGTACCTTGCATACCCTCTGTTTGTGCCCTGCAAGCCTTGTGTTCGTACCCTGCACACCCTTTGTTCGTAATCTGCATATTGTGTATATATTGTATATTATCTTGTGTTCGTAGCCTGCATACCAGCATATATTTGTACTTCGCAAACCCTGTGTTCGTAGCCTGCATACCCCCGTGTGTTCGTACCCTGCATACTCTTCCAGCATGGGGCATCCTGCTTTCTCTTAGGGTATACTGCCTCGTATCCTAAAGCAACTCTTAGCACCCTATGGTAATATTCTGCACCCTGTGGCAACACCCTCCACCCTGTGGTAACTCCCTGCCCACTGTGGGAACACCCTGCACCCTGTGGCAGCACCCTGCACCCTGGCAAAACACTGCTCCCTGCGGCAACACCTTGCACCCTGCGGCAACACCCTTCACCCTGGCAACACCTTGCTCCCTGTGGCAACACCCTTCACCCTGTAGCAACACCCTGCACCCTGGCAACACCCTGCACCCTGTGGCAACACCCTACACCCTGTGGCAACACCATTAAACTAGACATACCTAAATTTTAAACTCAAATTAGTGGTCAGTAGTAGATGTGTGTCATGTCTGTCTACTTAAATGCTGCTGAAGGGATCTTGATCCAAGGAATTGAAGCCAACATCTCTTTCCTCGGATTAAACCTAATTCAAATTCCCCAGGCGTTGAATGGCCCCCAACGGGTGTAACGCTTCACATGAATATAATCTGACGAATCTAAGATAGTGATGCAACATTTGCAAGGTGAGGGGGGGGGGGCACTGAGAAGCTACTTGCAACGCTATGATGCAGTACTTGCAAGATGGGTGGGAACGTTGATGTTAAGGTACTTGCAACGCTATCTATTAATAGCACGCTATCGCCTCTTAGAAATCAACACTGTATACTGATTCTCACGCTACTTTGTTATCCTTCTTATAAATTTGTAAGGGTCATGTAGCACCTGGGGAATGGAAAGAAATCAGGGTCGATTAAAGCCCCTGGCTGACATCAACACACCTCCCTGGCTGACATCAACACACCTCCCTGGCTGACATCAACACACCTCCCTGGCTGACGTCAAAACTCCTCCCTGGTTGACATCAAGATCCCTCCCTGGCTGACATCAAGACCCCTCCCTGGTTGACATGAAGACACCCCCCTGGCTGACGGCAAGGCACTTCCCTGGTTGACATCAAGACGCCTCCCTGGCTGACATCAAGAAAACTTAAAGGCTAGGCGGAATATTTTCAGTGTAGTAATTAATTAGAAAAGTTTCTTGTAGGCCAGACGTCCTCTGACATCGTCTTAAGAATCTAACAGCGAGACATTGTCTTAAGCTATACTAGCTTCAGTAACTAATCACTCTTGTAAATTAGTTCTAGGGAGGTGGGAAAGGTGTAGGGGTGACACAACACCTGGGTAGTACGAAGTAATCACGACGTGCGGCCAGCAGTAACAACCTGATTGATCAGGCACTGATCCACCGGGAGGCCTGGTCGTGGACCGGGCCGCGGGGGGCGTTGACCCCCGGAATACCCTCCAGGTAGATCCAAGCGGCGGCCGCAACAAGTTTGCTGCATCTACAGATTTCTTCGTTTTCTCTGTCTTGAGTCTGGGTTATATAAGAACAGAGGGGCACTGCAGCAGGCCTACTGGCCCATGCTAGGCAGGTCCAAGTCACACCCGCTTAAAAAGGAACACTGCAGCAGGCCTACTGGCCCATGCTAGTTAGCTCTTTCTCAAGAAAATAATCTTCGTAGTTTTTGAAGTATCTACAGACTACTTGCCCTTGAATTTGTATCGATAAATTCACTGGTGGGCGAAACGTCAACAATAAAGATACCCAGATGTTGCACATGTGTCTTATTTATCTTGTCGGTATTGTGTACCATTCATATACACACTACTTGCCGCCTGTCACATCTCATTTTTCCCAGGCATTATAAGAATAATTCCCCTATTTCGAGACAGACAAGTTCCCGTCTTGATCTTATGGGTTAAACTAAAGCCAAAACCTTGCAGGCTTCTTGTTATTGTACATCAGATCATCTTAATAATATTCCTAAGACATTAAGAAGCAATTAAGTTTATTTTTCCACTATAATCAACCTTATGTATATTTATTAACACATTTACTAAGTCCAGGATCTTTCCTTAATTCATGGTATAACTTAAATATTTGATGACAATTGTTGTGGCGTTCTGAGCACAGCTGAGAACACCTGAGCTGTGTTAAGACCTCAACAAATATTTGATGACAATTGTTGTGGCGTTCTGAGCACAGCTGAGAACACCTGAGCTGTGTTAAGACCTCAACAAATATTTGATGACAATTGTGCTGTAGAGTTCTGAGCACAGCTTAGAACACCTGAGCTGTGTTAAGACCTCAACAAATATTTGATGACAGATTGTGTTGTAGAGGTCTGAGCACAGCTCAGGTGTTCTGAGCACAGGTGTTCTCAGCTGTGCTCAGAACTCCACAACAATTGTCGTCAAATATTTGTTAAGTTATACCATGAATTAAGGAAAGCTCCTGGACCTCACCTTACGAAACAAAGTGAATGTGATGGTAATTATGGACAAGGTTGATTATAGTGGAAATATGAACATGTTATGGGAAGACAGGGGAACTTAGGTGCCTGTTGACGGGTCACATAACGTCTTCCTTCGGGAACTTAGGTGCCTGTTGACGGGTCACATAACGTCTTCCTTCTACTACAGTGTTCCTCTCGGAGTAAATATAAACTTAGTATATAATACTGACACGATGGAAGAATAAACTGTGTGGGCGAAACGTAGTTAATAAAAGTTCACATTATACTGTTTTTGTGTTCATTTTTCCACCTAGTGTTAGTGTTCCACTGAGGTGGAAGTGGAAATGGAGAAGTAGATAGATAGTTCAGAGTGTTCCACTAAGGTGGAGGAAGTGGAAATAGAGAAGTAGATAGATGGTTCAGAGTGTTCCACTGAGGTGGAGGAAGTGGAAATAGAGAAGTAGATAGATAGTTCAGAGAACCGAGAAGTTGATAAATTAGACTGTGTAACACTTGGGTGTCTTTATTGTAGAAACCTTCCTCCAACACAGAGAAGAATAGTTGAAGGTCAGAAGGAGTTTGAGGTGATCAGTCCCTTAGCCTGGAGGAAATGTAGGTGGTGGTAGTGGTGTTAGCAGTGGAGGTAGTGGTGGTGGTGGTGGGAAACTTCCGCCTACGTGGGTCCTAACCATACAGGTTCTGTGGAACTTCTGGCCATTTCACCAAGGTCTTTTTCCCACTTTTAAGTTTGAAAAGAAATTTCAAACCAGACAACCAAATATACGCTGAAAATAACACTTCCAGGAAACTAGAATAATTCAACATGAAAGAACAACAACAGAGGTTTTATCCTCTTAACAACACGTCCTTAAACTAGGCTGCCCAGTTGTGTGGAAGGCCTAACCTTGAGGAAAAACTAGCTTAGAATGAGCCAGGAGGCCTACTGCAATGTTCTTTATTTTCTTATCAATGCACCACACAAGGAGAGCCTAACATGAGTAGTCATCTCAACACCTTCATGTCTGATAAATTAGACACACGTGCAACTCTTGGGTATCTTTATTGAGGAAACGTTTCGCCACACAGTGGCTTAATCAGTCCATACAAAGGAGAATCTTGAAGAACAGGAGGAGAATGAGGTAATCAGTCCCTCAACCTTGAGTCCATCAATCATCAGTCCATCAATCTTGAATAGAATACGGCATAAGTGCGGAGAAGAAGCTTATAAACCGTAGGCAGAGTTGCACATGTGTCTAATTTATCAACGTGTCGGTTCTCTGAACCATTCATCTACAAACCTTCATGTCTGTTGAAAATGTTATAAAATACTGACAAGTTGATAAGACACATGAGCAACAGTTAGGCATCTATATTGTTTAAACGTTTCCCCACACAGAGACTTCATCAGTCCGGTACAAAGAAGAATGGTGAAGATTAGGAGGACCTTGTAGTAATCAGTCCCCCAGCCTAGAGTCGATGTAATTGTGGTTGTTTTGCATACATATATATATATATATATATATATATATATATATATATATATATATATATATATATATATATATATATATATATATATATATATATATATTATTTGTAATATTAAACAGGTTAATTTAGGTTAGAATTTGAAAAATTTGAATTAAGCGTTTTTATTTTGATAAAGGAGGGAAAGGTGAAGAGAAGGGAGAAAGTTGGGATAGGTGGTGGGGAGGGGAGGGAGAGAACCTTCAGGTGATCAAAGAATTTTAGTGAAGACTGTCTTCTGAAATTGCAAGATTTATCATGACTTAGTTTTTGGTTCAGCTGGAAAACTCACAAAATTGCTTGAAAATTCACCTGCCTCTGTCATAGGGAAAATGTTACGTGCTTAATAAATCAGTATTAAACTGTTTAGCTATTACGGCAACGCTTAAACTATGTTTAAAAATAAACTCATTCTCTATTTTGTAATTTTGTTTACTTACATGTGGAAAGTTGTAGGACGCTGTAGGCCTTTCACACTGATGAGTGACCTTCGTCAGGGGCTTGCAATGTGAAGGAATGGAAACAGTAGCGGTGTCAGTTTCCCAAACACTGTTTTTTCCCGTACACCATTACCAGTCCTTCAGATCGCAAGCTCCTGATGACTCGCTCATTATTGTGAAAGGCCTAGAGCCTCGTATAACTCTCTGGCTTTTTTTTGTTAGTGCTTTAGCACTTTTTGTGATATTTTAGCAATATGCCTATATATACTGAGCAGGCCTATCACCTCTATGGAATTATAGGTATTCAGCTTTGTTAGATCCAGTTCCTAAGATCAAGAGCCCTTCAGCACCAATGCTCCCCACATCGTGGATTGCTCCTATGACAACACATTATGAAAAATAACAAGAAGGCACAATACCGTGACTGGAACAATACATAAATAACCCGCACATAGGAGAGAGGAGCTTACCACGACGTTTCGCTCCGACTTGGTCCATTTACAAGTCACAGTGTGAATTTTAAATGGTCCAAGTGGGACCGAAACGTCATAAGCTTCTCTCTCCTATTTTGCGGTTCATTTGTGTACTATGCAATTTTGTTAGAACCGTTTTTGAGTTGTGAACCAGACACTAACGCGCCCATGAAAAATATTGCAATTTCAGAAATATGGCTTAAATCAGTCAGTACGGGGAGGTAACACGTCAGCCGGACTTGCTGAGTATGTGTAGTGTAGAGTCGATCTCTGACACTGTTGCAGCGAAGCTACTCCCACACCCACCCACAGTAAGTCATGTCTTGTCACTCCCACACCCACAATAGTCATGTCTTCTCACCTCTCTATACCTGCTTCCCAGTCAACACATTATTTGGCATCCGTAAACTAACCACACACACACACACAATATCTTCAACCTTAGAGCTGTCAGGAAGTGGAACACTCTGGAGAGAGTAGTGGAGGCAAGAGCCATACACAGCTTTAAGATGAGGTGCGATAAGGCTCTTGGAACAGGGAGTGGACCTAGTAGCGACTAGCGAAAAGGCAGGGGTCAAGAGCTATGACTCGACCCAAGCAACCACAAATAGGTGCGTGTACAGAAACAAGGGGTCACAATTGGAAGTTGAAGACTCCTAGAGCCAAAGGGATGTTAGGAAGTATTTCTTCAGTCATAGAGTTGTCAGGAAGTGGAATAGCCTAGAAAGTGACGTAGTTTACCTGGAGAGAGTTCCGGGGGTCAACGCCCCCGCGGCCCGGTCTGTGACCAGGCCTCCTGGTGGATCAGAGCCTGATCAACCAGGCTGCTACTGCTGACTGCACGCAATCCAACGTACGAGCAACAGCCCGGGTGGTCAGGTACCGACTTTAGGTGCTTGTCCAGTGCCAGCTTGAAGACTGTCAGGGGTCTATTGGTCTAGGGGTCTAGTGGAGGCAGGAACCATACATAGTTTTAAGACGAGGCTTGATAAAGCTCATGGAGTAGGAAGAGAGGACCTAGTAGCAATCAGTGAAGAGGCGGAGCCAGGAGCTATGAATCGACCCCTGCAGCCACAAATAGGTGATTACACACAACCTCCCTACACTTCGATGAACATCAAAATGGTATACAATACCGACAGGTTGGTAGGTAAGACACACAGGCAACAGCTAGGCAACTTTATTCCGAAACGTTTCGCCTACACAGCAGGCGACTGAAGAAGCCTAATGTGTAGGCAAATCGTTTCGGAATAAATTTGCCTAACTGTTGCCTATGTGTCTTACCTACCTCCCTACACTTCACAACCGCAACCTCCCACACCAGTACACTCCTATCCACCCCCTCCGAGACCCAATACATCAAAGAAGTATAGGGGTAAAAGGCCAACAGGGACGATAGGGAGAGAAAATAATGGCATATAGGGAGAAGACATTTAAATCAAAGCCATTTATATAAAACTTTCACATTTTTTTCCCTTTCGGGTTGAATATACAAAACACTGAATGAAAAAATTACCATTCTGAATTTGCTGTAGCTGCCAACGTTCAGTTGTCATAACCAACGTTGTTATAACCAACGTTATCATAACCAACGTTCAGTTATAACCAACGTTCAGTTATAACCAACGTTCAGTTATCATAACCAACGTTCAGTTATAATTTGATATGATAAAGGTCAGTTTTACAGAGGAAGAAGCAAGCGCAGGACCAGCTCCAGAGTGAAACGTTGCTTAATAAAGCTCTACCCTGAGCAAAACGTTGCTTAATAAAGCTCTACGCCCAGCAAAACGTTGCTTAATAAAGCTCTACGCCCAGCAAAACGTTGCTTAATAAAGCTCTACCCTGAGCAAAACGCTGCTTAATAAAGCTCTACGCTGAGCAAAACGCTGCTTAATAAAGCTCTACGCTGAGCAAAACGTTGTCCCAATAAAATGCTTCCGTAACGTTTCTTTTTAATTATTCAATTTTAAACGTAATTTTTCAATTACATTTACAAAAAATCGCGCTATAAAAAGGAGGAGCTTTATAAAGGGGTTTACTGTATAAGCTTTTTATGTATCCACAAGTACTGTAACCCTTACGGGTTTTGTACTTCCGTATGTGATAATGTGACGCTTAGATCTTACACGATATAAATTTAGATCTTTCACTTTCCTGTATTGATGATCTCAGACGCAAATCGATTTTTTTTTTACGCCCTTACGCGAGTTTTTGGATTTTTTTTTCAGTTCGTAACGTGTGCTGGGATTATTTATGTCACAACTGACGTAACGTTGTATATTTGTGTTAAGTGGCGGGTGGGTTACACTGTCTCCTGATAACATGTTCGTTTTCCCACTATAATCTACCTTGACCATAATTATTATCGTATTTGCTCCGTTTCGTAAGGTGAGGTCCAGGAGCTTTCCTTAATTCATGGTGTAACTTAAATATTTGAAGACAATTGTGTTGTCGAGGTCTGAGCACAGCTCAGAACTCCTGAGCTGTGCTTAGACCTCGGCAATACAATACACTGTAACAATACTCTGTAACACTGTAACAATACTCTGTAACACTGTAACAATACTCTGTAACAACACTCTGTAACAACACTGTAACAACACTCTGTAACAACACTGTAACAACACTCTGTAACAACACTCTGTAACAATACCCTGTAACAACACTAACAATACCCTGTAACAACACTAACAATACCCTGTAACAACACTAACAATACTCTGTAACAACACCCTGTAACAACACTAACAATACCCTGTAACAACACTAACAATACTCTGTAACAACACTCTGTAACACTGTAACAACACTGTAACAACACAACACTGTAACAACACTGTAACAATCATCAGCTATTTGTTAAGTTATACCATGAATTAAGGAAAGATCCTGGACTTCACTATACGAAAGCAGACAAAGCAAATGCAATAGTAATTATGTACAGGGTAGATTATTGGGAAAAATTAACATATCAGAAGACAGGGGAAACTTAGGTGCCGCTTAAGGTGCGTTGCACTATGTTATTATGTACCTTATTTGTTAAAATTTTTTTATGAACACACATTCTAACTTACAAATCAAAGTGGATTATCCGGTATTCTCTTAATCTTTCTCCTCCTTATTCCAATCCTCCTCTCCATTTTCCATCCTTCCCTAATCTTCCTTCCTGCCTACTTACCATATTCTGTGGTTACAAAGCCTTTTAGTCCACAGGTATTGTCGCTAAAGCAATGTATTTGTACACTGTTTTTGCCTGCATGTATGTTGTAATTGTGTGACAAGTGAAGTAACTCTGGTGTAACTTTATCTAGGTACAGGTATACATAGTTACACGAACTATAATACATAGTAACATGCGTGTAAATTACCTACCAGGATAACCCAAAAAAGTCAAAGTGACTTATTTCCATTAGTGTATTTCTTAAATGTGAGGTTTTTCTATCATGTATGTTGAAGTTAGTCATTTGACAAGTAAAGTAACTCTGGTGTATTTCCACAGGTGTTGTCATCCAGCCAGGGTAACATCATCGCTGTAACCAACCCAGCGCTAGCTATGTCAGCAGCCATGGTTCCCTCACAGCTTAGTGACGAAGAACGTCACATCTCAGCTCTCTACACCCTCAGTCAGACTGTCGGAGCAGCGGCGGCTGCTAGAGGCAACTCTATCAAGCAGGAACCAAACTCACCGGGGGCCACTAAGCAGGAATAACTGCTTTCGCGGCTCCTGCTTGGGGCAACTCCATTAGGAACCAAATCCACATAATGCCAGGCAGGAGAACCTGCCGGCTGGGCACCAAGTTACTAGAGATGGTAGAGAAGGGGTACAAAGCTCTTCGAAGAGCTCTACCTACCCTTCAGTGTTTCTTATACTCAAATTAGTTGTGTAAGAATCTTTCAATACCCACGATACCCACTCACCTCTTCAAGGTACTACCCAAAAGCAACTCTCGGGAAATAAATCTTCAAATACCTATTTAAAAACCGTCTCAAGTGAAGCCAGTATTTTATACTCACGGGGAAACTCTAAGCCCCTTAACCAACATACAGCGCCCGAGGAATGGGAGGTAATCAGGTTTGATCCGTGGAAGTGGAGGGTAGCTTCAGTTCCTTGGATCATGAACCGTTCACTAGCATCAAGGCACATTCCCCTTGATGCTAGTGAAAACTTAGTGCTCCAAGTATTACTTAAATGGTGTACAAGAGAGGCGTGATCATGACCCGGGTCATGGGGGCGTTGACCCCCGGAACGTCCTTCAGGTAACTAGACATGTGCACAACACCTGGCAGTCTTTATCTGAAGATGTTCCACCGACCAGTATCTTTATTAATTCAATACAAATATATGCCACGATAGTATTAGTTGAGGTAATTAAGTCCCTCAGACAGTGAGAAATGAAGTAATCACCGGCTGCAAGGCTGGGGACTACCTCATCTTTCACTGACTTCTGCAAGGCTGAATGAAGGACCGATTACTCATCTTCCACTGTCTTCTACAGGGCTGGGGGACTGTTTACCTCATCTACTGTTTTCGTATATAATCTCTCTAATGAACTGATAAGAGCCACTGGTTGGCGAAACGTGTTCACAGAAAGTTGCTCAGATGTTGCACATGTGTAACTGCTCCAAAACATTACTATAAATTCTTTTGGTGTAAGAAGAAACACATTTAACTCGTGGTAAGACAATCTGTTTAACACAACTTAAGCTAACCTAATAACTCTTGGCTAAGAATTAGACGAGTAACATCTGGGTATCTTTATTTGTAGACGTCTCGTCAACCAGTGACTTTATCACTACAAGGAAATAATAGAAAGACTGTAGAAGTATATACAGAAGGCGAGATAATCAGTCCCACAACTCCAGGACTGAGGGACTGATTACCTGACCTTTTGTATATAGTTCCAGGCTTCCCATTATGTCCTTGAATTTATACTGATAAGATCCTCTGGATGGCGAAACGTCAACAAATAAAGATACCCAGATGTTGCACATGTGTCTAATTGTTTATCTTGACGGTATTTTCTACCTCTAACAACACCTGCAACACTACCAGTTCCAGAACATACATGCTTAACCAGTTATACAACATCCATTAATATCTCCTCCAACACGACTTATTTTCTCATATTATTTTTATTATTTTTTGAAAGCATTAAACTTATAGGAATTTAACAACAACTTAATAATAGGAGGTAATCATGCTCGTGTGTGTGTTATATAATGTGGTGCCGAATAGGTAAAATTGGTCAATTATCAAGATCTCTTTTAAAATTAAGTCCTTTATAAAATTTTCTCTTGTACGTTTGAAGATATATTTTCTCATTTATGTTAATGTAAAAATTAATAATTTTGTACCAAAAGTACCTTAGAAAACTTACCGAACCTTATTATAACAAGCGCAATTTAATTTAGCTTAATCCAGGTAAATATATTTTAGATAAGTTTACAATATTTTAATAATAAATACAATGAAATATATTTTTTTCACTAGGTTCAGAATGATTTTTACGAAATTATGCATACACAAATTTTCACTTATTTGGTAAGACGACGTTGCTGTTTAGCCAAAATCCCAAGTTTTACATATATGGCACCATATATATATATATATATATATATATATATATTATATATATATATTTATATATATATAATAAATGATATATTAATATGCAATAAAATCACAGTAAACAGGTTGATTTCAGAATATGCAAAACAAACCTCTGAAAGAATATGAGAAATTCCAAGCGCTTTTCGTGATACTACATTATCAATAAATGTGAGTAGTCATGAAAGCGCTTGAATTTCTCTATTCTTTTTCAGAGTGGTTTTTTTGCATATATATATATATATATATAATATATATATATATATATATATATATATATATATATATATATTATATATAAATATATATCTCGGTGGATATCTTGAAGTATTCCAGTCAAAGCTTATTATATATATGAACCACAAATGGGGGTTTTAGTTCTAGCAACAAGAATGGACCTTCCTTAACTACACACACATATAAGCTCCTCCAGCTTCAGTAAGAGTTTTCCGAAGTATTGCCTCGCATTCATTCCCACACGTTGTAACAGCGACAATATTCATATTTAAGTAATTTTAAGTTAAGATTGGGGTAAGGAGTTGCATAAATTAGCACAAAAGTTACAGTAGGAGTAACTAACATATACAATTTTTCTCGATATTAAATTATATCAAATCAATAATAACAAAGTAATTAGTTATTACGCAGATAATTACGATATCAATCAACTGCACTAACGAGCAAATTATTACTGTGCCAGGTTCTCAACAGGACGTGCTGCTGGCACCTTCCTTGGCATCGCTGAGGGGGGGGATTTGATCCAAAGAACTGGCGCTGCCCTCCCTCGCCTTTAATCAAACCTAATTACATCCTACTTTCCCAGGCGCTGTATTACCCCTACGTGATTAGCACTTCTCCGTGAATATATTAAATTCGTTATCATTATTGGTTGGATATTTTGGTTTTAAGTATTTTTAATCTCTGAAACAAAAATTTAACTCAGCGTATATACACAAATATACACTTGTGTATATCCCTCATATATCAGTAGCGTCGTCTATATGGGCCCCTTCCACTGAGAGATATCTCCCAGTGTATATATAGAGATATAATCAGTGTTTATACACATACACAGGTGTGTGTATATATATGCACTGATAGATGTATATACAAAGATGTATGTCTCAGCATTTACATAATTTGATTCCTATTTTGGGGATTCTATCATTTTTTACAGCCTACCCGCAGTCGATAGGCTTTGACCCTGAGACTAACTTGTTAACCACAAATTCTATGACTCCCCATCAGCTCTCTAAAAATCCCTGTCATTATAAGATTTTTAAAACGGTCTGGGACCTGTTATATTCCTTAGCATAACTATTATCAATATAACGCTACAGTTCTGAGAGACGCAGGAAAGCTTTCACTGTACAGTTGTACCACGCCCGAGTGAGTTTTGATGGGAAATCTCACCCCATAAGAGGTCAACAGAGCCTGGGAACTAGAGAGGTATCAGGTTTGATCTGAGAAAGGGCACTTAAAATCCCTTCACCAGCATAAAGGTGCTTACTTCTTCCAAGAGGCCTAAGGAAGAGGCGTGTTAAAGTACGCCCGAGTCACGACAACCGTATTTCGTTATTAAATTTTCTCTTATGCTGGAATAAATAATTCTTTATGTAGTTAGCCTCGAGTTGTAATTACGATCCCTAAGTTTGCTGTGAGAGTCAACTGTGATAGTTTAAGGGGCAGGAAATACCAACATGTATGGCATAGCACTAAGATGCCGTGTAGAGCAAACCTTCACTTGTAAATTATATTTCGCTCCGACTCACGAAATCGTAATGACACGACTGCAAACAAACCATACCACGGGCGGGGATAGACCCCACGATCAGTCACATAAAACTCCAGACCGGCGCTAGCGTCGGTCTGGAGTTTGATGACTCTCTGATCGCGGGTTCTATCCCCGCCCGTGGTATGGTTGCTTACATTTCGCTGTAATCGGAGCGAAATGTAGTCTAGACATGCAGGTTTATTTTTTTTACACAGCGTCTTTCTATTTGTGATATAGGTGCAAAGCGGCCTTTGTCTACCCGCTGTAGGGTCACGGACGCTTCCATAATCTAGACTTTCAGTTCTCGGTTAAGTTTACGTAATCTAGACTTTCAGTTCTCGGTTAAGTTTACGTAATCTAGACTTTCAGTTCTCGACTTTCAGTTCTCGGTTAAGTTTACGTAATCTAGACTTTCAGTTCTCGGTTAAGTTTACGTAATCTAGACTTTCAGTTCTCGGTTAAGTTTACGTAATCTAGACTTTCAGTTCTCGGTTAAGTTTACGTAATCTAGACTTTCAGTTCTCGGTTAAGTTTACGTTAATCTAGACTTTCAGTTCTCGGTTAAGTTACGTAATCTGGACTTTCAGTTCTCGGTTAAGTTTACGTAATCTCGACTTTCAGTTCTCGGTTAAGTTTAACACTTGAAGACACTTCAGTAAACCATATCATGTCCTTATTCATGATACAGTGGACAGTTTAGTTTTTTTAACATGAAAGAAATGGCATTCACATTTTGCATTTTTTTAAGTTGCTTTTTATCAAGCTTAAATTTACGTGCTTAGACTTCAAGCTTGATAATCTTAAACCCAGCTTGGAATTCTAAGCTGAGCTAGAGATCCATTTTTTGCTTTTAAAACTGTGAACCATTAGGTGAGAGATGATTCCCGTAGATTGATTAGATTGATGTAATTTAGTTGAGTGACTTCATACTTGAAGTCCAATTGGTGTACCTGTCTGCAATTGTCATGTGGTGAGCAAAAATGAGCTCTACGTCCTTTAAAACTAAGGCTGCATTTTTAAATGCAGCACAGTCATTGTCCGTGGAAGTGTGCCGTAAACGTCTATCTTAAAATTCAACAATAACAAGGGCTAGTAATTTTACAGAAAATAAATACAAAACCTGTTATCTACGTGACATTAAAAAAAATCGACACTACGTTTATTTGCAAATGTTACCTTACAATTATTTGCTTCCGTATCTCTTATCACCTTATATCTCGTCCCCTTGGAAGACTCCACAACTTGTGTCGGAGTAACGGATCGAGGCAGAAAAGTGGAGCTGTGACTAGTCTAGAGCAATAAACCCGTGTTTTTCTGAACGAGATGGAAAGACTAGCCTACCTTAGGTACACCGGCGGTTGCTAGACCACTGAGTTCATGGTAACCCAGACCAGCATACAGTGAGTTTTCACTGTAAATACTTTAACAGTTTAATTCCTGATTTACGTATTTAAAGTATTCTTGACTGGTGGTAAATAGGTGACAATCAACCTTATTGACGCTCGTGTAATAAGATAGTTTTAAACCAAAATAACCAACAAAATGTTTTCGGGATATATTTTCCATTTCACCGGACGTCGAACACACCAGCAATTTGAACCCCGCTATGTAAAGAATTATCTAGATCCGAACTGCGTACTGCCTACAATAATGAAGAAACGGCAGGTTTTATAACTAAAACGTGTGTATACCGAACTCACGGCTCCCGGCTTACTACTCCTCACTAATAACAAAACCCCAAGAGGTAAAACTATAAGAAAAATGTGCAAGAATGGTATATAATACCGACAAGATGAAATTAAGACACATGTGCAACATCTGGGTATCTTTATTGTAGACGTTTCGCCAGCCAGAATTGGTATTGATAAAGCCACTGGATGGCATTCATTCATTCATTCATTCGAGATTTGCCGGTACTTCCGGCCCGGGTCTTCTCCACATGGTGACCCGGCGAACACTGGATGGCGAAACGTCTACAATAAAAATACCCAGATGTTGCACATGTGTCTTAATTTCATATAAGAAAAATAAAAGCTTCTAGGAGGAACACAAATGGTATCACAGCAAGTTAAAATAACTAGTCTCATTTAAAAAAAAAAAAAAGTCGTGTAATAGGCTGTGATAGCGGCGGCCGATAATGCAACAATGGGTAAACTATTTTTTTTTCTTGGTTCCAGCCTTTGCATCCCATTCCCCAGTTTTTTACGACCCATAGGAATTTGACGCTTCCCCTTGATTAACAGATCACTAATACTAGTAATGAAACCTTGCCTGCCCTGTGTCTTATTGTGCAATTACCAACAGCCTGAAGGGTCACAGGCGAGGGATAAACCCTCCACCAATCACAAACACACTTTAGCACTTATGAAATGTAATTGGATAATTTGATAACAGCGACTCGTTAATATAAAGTAAGTCGTAGTTTCTACTAAATTATAAATAAATTAATAAATTTCCCAAGTACGTACAAAGAATAAATCACAATATAGTTGCTGCAATAATTCACTAGTTGTGCAAGAAAGGTATAAAATACCGACAATATTAAAGTTTAGACACATGTGCAACATCTGGGTATCTTTATTGTAGACGTTTCGCCATCCAGTGGCTTTATCAATACAGATTCCAGGACATAATTGGAAGACAGATTCTCCTCCACCACGATGCTGTGAACACTAACTCCAAGGCTGAGGGACTGATTACCTATCTTTTGTACATAATTCTACTGTCTTCCAATTATGTCCTGGAATCTGTATTGATAAAGCCACTGGATGGCGAAACGTCTACAATAAAGATATCCAGATGTTGCACATGTGTCTCAACTTTCAATTCACTACTAACCTAGGCTTCACGGAGGAAAGTTCAAACATGTGACCCACAAGTGGAACTTGATAATCTAGGGGCGAACAAATGTTTAAGTTTCGTCTCTAAATGGGTACAGCCCCCTTATTTATCTCCTATTCTAGTGTTATGGAGTGGAAAATACAGTGGAACCTCAAATATCGAACTTTCTTCGGTCCAGAAGGCTGTTCGAGTGCCTTTACCGAATGAATTTATTCCCATCAGGAATAATGTAAATTAGATTAGTCCATTTCAGACCCTCAAAAATACACTTATAAAAGCACTTACAAAAATACACTACATAATTGGTCGTGTTGGGAGCAGTTCGATTTTTGAGGTTCCACTGTAATCCGATTCAGTGGCATCAAACACTTCCGTTGAAGGATCTTCAGTTATTACCGGCAGTTGTTTATCCTGGTGTAGTTGTGAATAATCTTTTCAAATATTTAAATAAAAACAGCCTCGTAGTGATATTAAAGACTACACTTTTTTTTTTTCTAATTTTCTGAATTAGCTTTAAAATTTATATTTTTTTCCTAGCTCGGCATTATTCATCCTCTTTTCCCAGGGAAATATTTTTTCTAGCTTTCATATTAAGTTACATTTGTAATTATTGTCACTTCATTGTGGCTCGAACCACTGACCCAAAAATACTTAGGAGAGAAACCTTATGACGATGTTTCGATCCATCCTAGACCATTGCAAGCTGTGACGACAGTGGTTCAGGATGGAACAAAACGTTCTATGATGTTCGTCCCTTGGTGTGGGTTTTTGGGGAACCACGCGAGTTCTCGTAATAATAACAAAAGTCGAAGATAACCAAACCTAAATGTTCCAAAAGACGTTAATCCGTTTAATACTAGCTGTCAACCCTGGCTGTTTTGTTACCACATTTTTAATACCCCGCAGAATTTTACTTGTAACATTATTAATACAACGGGACTTTTCACTGGCACAATTTGCCTGGATTTATTTTTTTGAAAGCTAATTTTTATATAAGTTATAGACTGAATATTTATCCCAGGCGACGTTTACTTTATTCGACTATGGAATGCAGTACAGATATGTAATGTCTTTTGAAATTACAAATCCAATACGTACCTATGTTGTAATAGTGAATTATGAAAGAAATAGCGGACTTGAAGTGCTGTATGGTATAACTATGGAGGCTGCACCATTACCATGCGTTGAGACTAAGACCCACTAGCCTATTCTCAGAACTTCTTACAGCCTTCCTCACACACCTACATCCCTTACCTGCTGGATGTTCCAGTTCCTTCCACTTAAAACCTACATTCACACACTCCCTCCAAATTTTCTTTGAACGGTCCCTACTCCTTCCCTCCGCCCACCATTTAAATCTCATGATTATCCTAGTCTACTCCATGCTTTCTAAATGCCCAGACCACCATAGTAATTCCTCCACTGCCCCATGAATACCTATCATAACCTCACACTCTTAATCTCTACTCTCTTAATTCTTTTCATATTATTTACACTACAAAGCTCTCAAACAACAATACTACGACCTCCGCTCCTATCTACAGATCCATCAACAGCACCTCCCCTTTATCACTTTTCTGATCCATCAACATGCCACCTCCCCTTTATCCATCCATCTTTTCTGATCCATCAACATGCCACCTCCCTTTATCCATCCATCATTTTCTGATCCATCAACATGCCACCTCCCCTTTATCCACCATCTTTTCTGATCCATCAACATGCCACCTCCCCTTTATCCATCCATCTTTTCTGATCCATCAACATGCCACCTCCCCTTTATCCATCCATCTTTTCTGATCCATCAACATGCCACCTCCCCTTTATCCATCCATCTTTTCTAAGGTTCACCACCTTGTTCTTCAGACTCATCTGCTGGTACGTTCAACTCCCAAATATCTGAAAACAGTCACTTCCTTCTACTTTCTATCTGATATCCAATTATTCATTTAATACACCCAACACTCTAGCCTTCTCCTTTACAACTGCATTTATAAATACTGTATATTATACAACCATAGTGCCATCACACATCAATAAGGCCCACTTTTATTGAAAAATAATACCCTTCTCTCTTTACCCTACCTTGACCGTCGGTCATAAAAAAAACTTTACTGCTTATAGCAACCTACTACCTGTCCCACATATTTGCAACACGTGCAACAGTGCTCCCCTATCATCCATCATATGAAATTTCAACTAATAACTCGCAAAATCGTAATAGCACGATTATAAATAGGTCATAGAATGGGCGGGGCTGGAACCCATCATAACAAGCCAGTAAGAGTGGATAACTCACCGACCTACTACTTGTCATCGATTAAAATTTTACTCATTCCCAGTCAGTGTAACAATTCGCATGCTCAATAATAAACCACATGGAGACACAACAGGTTGGTTGATCTGTATATTTCTACCCCCCCCTTCTGTTATCCTCTTCAGCATATGTGCTGAAGAAGATATCAGAAGGGGATCGAAATATACAGATAAATCAACCTCCTGTGTGTCTCAGTGTGGGTTATTACTGAGAAGTGTTCGTTACACTTTAGGTTTCGGCTGCTCGCATCTTGAATACCTCAATTAAAAATAAAGTAAATGTAAGAGAAAAATATATTCGAGCTTTTGAAATTCATTAATTGTACCGTCTTTCCTTAATAAAAGTCTAAATTATCTTGCTCCAAAGCTTTTTTTGTTTGGGTTGGGCAAATATTTTGTTAATGGGTTTACAAGCCTGCTGCAGTGTTCCTTCTTTGTGTTCATATTTCTCCACAACACACACACACACACACACACACACACACACACACACACACACACACACACACACACACACAAAACACACACACTTCACATAGGTACTTGTCCTAGTTGTAATACACTGCTGGAATACACCAACAGTATGTAAATAAGACATTATGCGGGTTATGCATTTTAAGACGTTCGCCCACCAGGGACTTTATCCACTCATGAATTGGTAAGTCGATAAAATCCCTAATAGACTAAACATTAATAAATAAAATGGTATAACCCGCATAGTGTCTTGTTTATACTTATCCTAGTGTTGATTTTCTTACGAACAATGCTCAGTAATAACCCAATAAAGACAAGATTAATTGGCCTGTATATTTCAATTCCCTTCTGGGATCCTTTTCAGCCGAAAAGGATCCCAGAAGAGGATCGAAATATACAGACCTATTTTCTATCTCCATGTGGGTTATTATTGAGCACTGACAAGTGTTCATTACACTTAAGGAGCAATGTTTACTATGAGAAATAAAGTGACACCACTATGGCAGCAACAATTCACCAATCATCACAACTTAAAAAGGAACATTATGACTTCGTTCCGTTCTCTGCTGGACGATTATCAAGTCATACTGTAAAGTTGACTTGAAACTGGACCAGAATGGATCTAAACGTCGTCATAAGGCTCCTCTCATAGGCGAGTTTTTGGTGGATCTGCTATAAAAACAAGTATATTATGGAGCGACTAAGTTTTTGAACGGTTTTTAAGTCTTGCCCAAAAAGTGGGTTTCAGAAGTTTTTTAAAGTCCCGTAGAGTTGTAAATACGATCAACAAGTGACCATTTTGAAACCTTCAAATGGAACAGATTATTATGGCAATATTTTTGAATCGTGCTCAGTCAATGCCTCCTCTATTTTCTCATTTGAAAATGTGATATATTTATTATCAATAGGTCAGTGCTTAGGTTTACCAGAAACCTTAATTAAATGTTCAAGTTAACGAGTTGTTTCTCTGTCGAGACAACTCAAATTAGATTAATTTAACTAAGCACGCTTCGTAAATATGAATTATGACAAATTCTCAAGTCTATTGTCACCTCAAATAAAACGCATTTTTTTCTATACAAGTTTTGGCAAAAATATTTATCATGACTAGCTTTCTCTCTGCCTGTCGTGCTGCTATATCGGGCGACGGTTATAAATCACAAATGGTGCCGAAGTCAGTCACCCCGACTTAGACTTGGGAATTTCTGCCGTAAGTTCTATGTGCGTTAGTTATATTAGTTTATTACCTAGGCACGGTTCACGTTACTTGATGTCGGCTGTGTGTCCAGGTGACGAGGTAAGCGATGCTCACCTTCACTTGTAACCGTAGCTTAGTAGTATTGTGTCGAGCAAACTTATAGTTTAGTTTATTGTACAAACTGATCATTGCCATCTTGACAAATCTCGTGATATTGATTTTGCTTTCTTAGATAGTCAAGACTGTCTTGAAGGCCGAGTCTTGCTTGCTTCGTCACGTCTCTTGCCA